AGCTATTTTGCCAGCAAACCTAAGCACATAATGTAAAGATCTCAAAAAGCACAAGGATATGTCTTTACAGTGGTTTACATTTTTCATCCAGTCTCCATTCCCTCCGCAATCTGTAAGTCCTCTTGTAGCCAAATGATACCTGACTGGTCATGAGCACGTTCAGTGTATTCCTTGGTTCCAGTGCTTTGCCTGATTTGGGGTGAGTTCAAATGACATCTGTGAACTCAGAAAGCAGGTTCTCAGATGCTTGGGGAGGGCTGGGACCCTTATAACACTTTTGCCTTCAGCAAAAAATGTATTTCAATATAATTATAGTAGATAGCTTTCAATATGTCATCTCTATTATAGCAGCTGTAAATTATGAGTGAATTGCCTGTGTACGAGCATTTCTTCTGGTACAAGCAAAGTGGGAGAGCTGCACAGAGCATGATGTATCTGTTCCTTTTTAACTGAGAACAAATGTTGGAGTCAAATTTCATTTGCAAAAACCAATGTGTCCATTTCCTTTTGGTAGACTGGCAGAGGAACCAAGAAAGAATTTTAATTCTTAAAAACAAGGCTTCCTAGCACCCTTGGCTTAAGTTCTAGGAATTGACCTATTCTAATAGCTGGGCCTTTAACCATAAGAACGTATTTGCAAGGTACAGTAAAAGCATTTTTCAAAAGTTTGTAGCTAATCAACAAGAAGACAGAGAAGCACATAGGTTTGTCTCTTAGCTAAAAAGGAAAGCCATGTACCCAAGATGAAGTATTGTAAGACAGTTTGCCGTAAGCTTTGGAAAATTATCATATTCCTGCTCGGAATCAAGAAGAAGAAAATAAAATAGTTTTGTTTCCTTTTGGATGGCAGTAATATTCAAGAACCTTACCCTAGCATATATCCCATGCCTAGTATTTCAAAAGTATTTATAAGTGAATTTTTAGATGGTTATCAGCAAGAACTATTAAATCTGAGCCTATGTAATAGAGACATATGATAAAAGAAGAATTTTCTGGAGGGAAAAACAGGATTTTAAAGACAATACCATTTCTAAAACATACACATAAAACTGAGCCTTGCAGCTTGGATTTAATTTTGCTCAAACTGTAGCTCTAGTCTGTCTGCTTAGCTTTATAAATGTGGCTGTGCTTATAAGGTACTTTAATTTACTGCAGTGGTGGTGTTTGTTAATTTTATTGCAATCTAAATCTAAACAGGCTTCAGATACATTTTCATTACAGCTTCATTGTGAAACACGGTAGAGTGAATAACTCTAAGATTCCAATGTAGTTTATTTCTAAAAGACTCAACACAATTTTCTGTTGAAGCCTTTGCCTTAACATGTATGTTCTTCCTATTTACTATTAAGCTTTCTGTCGTTCAGAGTACTCGTGCTCACTTTTAAGAGGAAAAATTTAATTGCTGTAAAGTGATTAAAATAGTTGGTTTTGGCCAGGTGCAGTGACTCATGCCTTTAATCTCAGTACTTTGGGAGGCTGAAGTGAATGGATCACAAGGTCAGGAGTTCAAGACCAGCCTGGTCAACATGGTGAAACTCCCATCTCTACTATAAACACAAAAATTAGTCAGGCATGATGGAGGGCGCCTATAATCCCAGCTGCTTAGGAGGGTGAGGCAGGCGAATCAGTTGAACCCAGGGGGCAGAGGTTCGAATGAGACGACATTGCACTACCGCACTCCAGCCTGGGCAACAGAGTGAGACTCTGTCTCAAAAAAAAAAAAAAAAAAAAAAGTTGTTTTTCCATCTGCTCTGCTCCCATTTCAAATGCAATCCAACAAGGGAAGATCAGAGAAAACCAGAATGTACCCGAATTATTTTCCAATTCTACATGGGTAGCAGCACAATTCAATGAAAAAGGACGAAGTATTTTCAGAAACTGATTTCAACATCTGATTTTAATACTAACTAGATGTGCAACACTGGACAAATCACTTACCCTCTCTGAGTCTCATTTTCTCCTCTATAAAATGGACATTACAATACTATCTATTTTAGAAATCCTATCTCTTCACCTGTCTTAGCTCTGTTTAGCCCTTCTTGTAACACCGAAGCGTATCTTTGAAAGGTCCAACCAGATAAAGCCCTTGTATCCCAAAGAACTGAAAGGAAAAGTGGACCATTTTGGGTCAAAACGCACCGATCCTAATAACTTAGGAAATTACAGTCACAAGAGCTATAAAAGCCAGCCCCAAAGACAACTTAAGAGAATTAAATGCTGCTATATCACTTTTAAAACAATTTCAAACCTACAGAAGAAAATCTGCAAATTAAAATTCTGCTGATTCTGCCAACTAGTCATCATACCCCATCTATTCATTTGTCGCTACTGTATAGATTTTATTTATCTATATTTTTCCATTCGAAAGTGTTAAAATGAAAAAGGAACTATATATTTACATCGTTATTAGGCTACTGATTATATCCAGAAATAATTCATGAATACATTTTTAGACTCAGGACTTCCCAATTTGATCTTCAGTAAAAAAAATACAAAAAAGAGATAAACTTATAAGAACTTGTGTATACATTTATATTTTAAAAGCCAAAAATAAAACAAAACAACAACCAAAAAACCTGGTGATTTGACTCTGTTTTCAGCTGGGACTAAGGTAACCTAAAATCTCATGGAAAATTTTGTAGGATATTTCTAAAACAATGAGACTCAGGACCTTGTCACTGCCTGATACCAGCTTCACCCAACTTCTACTAGGGCTGTATGGAGAAAGTAAGGAGGCAGGTGTAAAGATACATGGCAGGAGGTAGTAAGGAACCACCTTAATTCCTTAGCCAAAAAACTCGGGCCATTTGGCCTCTAATATTGTATCTCTTTCCATGCAAGGTGACTGGTGGTGTTTATCTAATAAGTAGGTATAGTTATTTTAGCATAAAGTTATGCAATTAGGATTATACTATAAATAAGAGTCATTTTCTACTGTTTATGCTCAGAGGCAACCTTTTCAACCATGACTTACTTTGTTCACTCTCAATTATTCATATGTAAAATCAGAAAGTGGGATATTTTTACAAACACACTATACAATAATTTTTCCAAAATTATTTGTACATTTTCCACCAAAAGTTATTCTTACAAATGAGACTAGACATATAGTTTAAATCCCAGAAAATCCTATTCTAAAAATAGAAAACATCTTATAACATTAATTTATATTACATTTTAACTTAATGCTATACGAATTTTTCTACTCTCCCTCAAAACACACTCACCTCTGGGATAGGATTTAGCATTTGCTTAATACCATCATACCCAGAATACTAGAAAAGGCAATGGGAAAAAAACAACAATGACATATACAACTGAAACTACACAAGGAACGTAGAGGAAAAAATCAGTATTGAAAATGATCAGGGGGTGCCAGGGATCAGTGGGGAGGAAAGAATGAAAGAAGAGAGGGATGAATAGCACAGAGAATCTTCAGGGCAGTGAAAATACTCTGTATGATCCTATAATAATGGATACATGCCATCATAAATTTATCCAAATCCATAGAGTGCACAATACCAAGTGAACCCTAATGTAAACTATGGATTTTGGGTGATAATGGTATCTCAATGTAGGTTAATCAATTTTAACAAATGAACTCCTCTAGTGGGTTTGCTGATAATGGGAGAGACTATGCATGTGTGGGGATGAAGCATATGTGATACTCTCTACTTTCCTCTCAAATTTCTTGTGAACTTAAAACTGCTCTTTAAAGATCTTTAAAACACACATAAACACACCCAAAACTCACTAGGACTCCCATTTCACACTAAAGTGTATGGACTTTAAAAAGTACTTGCCAACACAGAAAAATACTTATGGGTGAAATTATATAATGTCTAAGACTTGCTTTAAAATATTCTACCAAATTGGGGCTGGGTACACAAAATCAGAGTGGTAAAATGTTGATAACTGTTTATCTGGGTAATAAGTATCTTGCTGATTCCTTATTTGGGATTGAACTCTATGAAATTACCATATTTCAATTGTTTTTTACCTCAAACGTAGCAATTTCATAGGGTTCGATCTAATATTATTCTCATTATTTTTGTGTACACGTATTATAAAGTGCTCCATAATAATGCATTTTTAAAATTACCTTCCAAATGAGAAATCTTATCCAATGAGAATTTCTCAAACTTAGCAGCTTTCAGCATTAAACAACTAAAATATATGTAAAAAGACTCACCAGTATTTTACTTTACATTAAATCTAAGACTCATTTGTTTTTCTCCACATTTTAACAACTCTGAAATGTGAAAGCATTTTATAATCAGTGATATTTTATAGCTAAACTAGCAGCGTTAATTTTTTCTTGGTGGTATATAAAATAATGATGTAACTTAAAATCAAAGTTATCTTAAGATTCAGAGTCAATATAATTGCTGAGAACTGGATTTTTAACCCATATTCTCTTTCTAATCAGAAATCTAGCACATAATGCCTAGCCTAGCATTACCTGTCCTGGCGTACCCATAATTATCTTGGGAAGTCTCATACTCAGAGAAACAGGCCAGAACCTGCTTACTTGGTGAAGCTCCCTATAGTCTGACACAATCCATAGAATTAATTCCCAGGAGGATTCTGGAGCTCACAGCATAGGAGGGAAAACCTCACTGTGCAATGCTTCCCTTCAAAAGTGATTAAAGCTTATGAACAAGGCCAGTGCATAAAAGTTAATTATACAGAGCTCTGAAGAGCACCAAGTGGTGAGGTGAGAGGGGAAGAATGACTGCAGGTGTAGTAATAAGGGCACATGAATGTGAGAAATGAATAAAACAAGTAGATAGGGTAAAATAGGTAGAGCTCCACCTCCAAAATCTCAAAGGGTCTTCATTTCATGAATTCAACAATTCACTTGGATTTTTGCATTGACCTTATTTATTTTGTAATCTGTGTTAACACCTACCCCTCACAGCCCTCAGAATTGGTTAGCATGGTCTAATAGAAGAGCAACAGAGGGTTTGTGTAGGACTATGAGAGTGGCGGCTGCTGACCTGTTCATATTTCTCCAGTTCTGTGTGATAGATTTGTCTGATCTGGGTCAATTTGGCTCTGTAATCTGAGTGTTCAATAGAGTTATCTGAAGAACCTCCAGAGGCTGCTGCGGCTGCAGCTGCTGCCGCCGATCCCCCACCTTTCTCAGGACCTGAAACCCCTTCTGCCAAAAGCATATTGTCCAGTCTCATTAGCTGGGGATCGGGAGGGTCCTCCTCCTGGGCTCCTCTGATGCTGAGACCTTCAAGGAAAGAGAGAGAGACAGAGAGAGAAGAAGCGAGAAACAGGACAAATAGCGTGAGTATTTTGTTTATTTGAGAAAATGATCAAACAATATCAATGTACTACAATTCATGCTGAGAACTTCACTGTTCACATTTGATGGATACGTTTGAATAAGTATGAAAATTATTTTCAAGATAATGTTTACATGTGTCCTAGAATTTTAAATATCCCCACCCCCCAACCTCAATTTACCACAGATTAGATCCTTAGAAAAAACTAACCCTGGCTTCCTGGAATATTTTAATCATCCAAGCCTCCCAGATTTGGATAACTTAAGCATGAAATGGGAAGAGGGTAAAAAAAAAAAAAAATGGAAGGTTTTAAGAAAGAAAGAAAATAATTAAAGGGACATAAAACAAACTTATCCAAAGGTGGTTACTCTGTCTCTCTCTACAGCTGGAGAAACAGAATTAAAATTTCCATAATTAATTCACAAGCTATCATCAAAAATTGAAAAATAAACAAGATTAGTTGAGCTTTTCCATCGTGTGATTTCAGAAGAGAAAAACATACATTATGAGGTAATTAGCTATACTTATATATATTATTAAGTGAATAGTGTTAAGCAATTGCCAGTAAACTATAAAACGAGGACACTAAATATGGCATTAAAAATGTGCCACTGACATGGCAATACAGTCCTGGGCACAGTAGACTCAATCTAATTTTGCTTTTAAATCAAGAACTTCCTAAGTGATGCCCAGTCAGCAACCTCTTCTGAGTACTATAGATCACAGCTGACAATTCATAGGTTTAATCAGGTCACACATGCTTTCTGCCAAGATGTTTTCAACAACACAGAAGACAAAGTTTCAAAATAATTATTATGGTATAAAAAGCATTGGAGTCATGACAGCTCAAAATCAGCATTTTCATTAATGTGTAACATAATTTAAAATATCCCAGCCCAATTAATCTCTGTAAATCTGCTTAAAAGCAGGTTCCCTACACTAGTTACAAGTGTAGGGAAGAGGGGAAAAGGAAGTTGGCACCTTTCGTGTTTGCATTTGGATTCTGTCTTTTGAGTCTGTGCCTGTTGTTGTTTATCCACAGTGGTACATACTCTGTGTCTAGTGTAACTTACATGACAGTAGCATCTATAAGCTGCCAAGTACTCAACTGATCACTAACTCTGATTTTATATGCTAACCTAAAACTACCATCAATTCTTTTAAGAACAGATTTCACTCCTAGATGCCCTGAATTACATCCATAGCATGACAGAGCTCTTGATTGCCTTAACTCAAATGTACAACTTTAATTTCTTCCCCAAAACACTTTAGAGCTGTCATGTTCATTTAAAATTATACTTCAGAATAATTTCAACTGGATAATAAAACCAACTCACCATAATTTAAAATTATACCTGTTGTCTTTTCAGAGGCAAATAAATAAGGTTTGAAAACTATAATATACTAAGACAATATATTCATTTAGGTAAGCAAAAAGGTAACTCTTATAAAATCCATATCAACACATCACTGATAATTAAAAATAGACAAACATGTATTTGCAGTTTTTTCTATAACTAAAAGGGTTTGCCTAATACTGTTCTAGAACTGCCATGTATTGCTTAAGTTTGTATTTTTAATTTAAACCTAATTTTCCTCTCTTTTAATTCACTTTGTTAAACGTAAAATCTCATGGCCCATACATGCTTGTGGTTCACATACCAAGATTTTTGTGCATTTGGCATGCAATGAGGGCTTACGGAGCAATCTCCTAGGCTGCACTTTGAATTCTGTTTAATTTTATATTCTTATTTGAGAAGTTATTAAGTTTCTCCTTTTTAAACTGAATTTTTGCCCACAGTTTTGTGTGTGTGTTGTTTTTTGTATTTACATAGGACACTGGTGCCTCTCTTGAAATGTGTTTTTTATCTATCTTCAAGTTTCCTCTGGGTTTCTAGTTTTCCCTTGTAGTTAAACACATCGATCTTTTCCCTAGGGACATGTGGTGAAGTACTTTAATAGTAGATCAACTTCCATAGCCAAAATGATTACACTTCCCTGAACATGTATGGCAAACAAGAGATGAAGCTCAATGACTAATATACAAGGATGTAGACCATAAGAGAGACAGAAGAAAATTCATTAGGAAGAAATGCAAAAGGCATAAAACTAATTAGCTATCATGACACTTTTATACATATCTAATAGGTATATAAACCATCGTTATCATACCAGTAAGAAGCAACCCATAAGCTCAATAGTCATGGACACAAATAAAACAATAATAAGTATATAGTGTCAACTACTATTAACATTTTACTCTTATAATGAAAAATATCTTATTTGTAAAATCATCAGTAAATCAACACTAAGTGCTTGCCTCAAGAACAGAAAAATGTTTTAATGCAATCCTTTGTATTTACTTTATAAATTATGTGCATCAAATTTCATCAGAATAATCATTTCCTGACAAAAATCTCATATTTCTTTAGATGAAAAGTACTAAAGCACTTTGCAAATAGGCAACACGGAAAAGACTATTAATAATAAAGGAATTTTCATAACTAGTTTGAAAAGTGAATTGGTTTTTTTTTTCTTTATTAAGCAAAGTAATGACTATGCGATCTTTAAATAGTAACACCTGGTTTCCAAAATTATTTTCAATTTGAATATTTCTATTTATTTTCTTACTTAAAAGCATTTGAATTACCATTTTATTCCACATTCCACCTATCTAGTCACTCACTATTACTTAGTTTACTAACTTTCTAGAGTCACACTAGCTTTTAGTCATAATACCTACTCTCCTGAGCACCATTTTAATGATACCTCACAACATTTTAATGGGTCTAAATTTGCAAGGGCCAGAATGAATCAGACTGTGTGGTTATCAAAAGATCTTGATATCTTCAAATTGAAACATGGTAAAATAATCATTTAAAATTTGATCTTGTTTTTAATCCAAAATGTATGTATATTGGAACATACAGAGGTTTATAAAGTTTTACATCTAGGCTCTTTGGTCATCATATTACAAAGTTTAAAAAAAAAAACAGCAACCCTATTTGCAATCTACTTATAATCACAACATTCATTTCCGTATCCCTAAGATTTAGACAAATCATACAAACACAGTAAAAACATTGTTTAACAATGAACTTGGCTTTGTTATAAGCCCACAGTTTTTGCATATCTTTCAGCAAATCCTAATTAGCTGTCTTTCAACATGCTGTGCACCTGCCCCACAGATAATGGGAGAGAGCATCTGCATAGACGACTGCATTCGGAGGGCAATAAATAAATTACGGGTCAAAATTATTACAAAGCTTTCTCCGAATAAACGCATACCCTTCACAATTCTAAGCTGCAGATGTGAAAAGTACCTAAAGCCCACTCAAATGGTATGATTACGGGGCTGTTTGAGTTTAATAATCTGACTGTAATTCAGGCATTTTCAACAGCTCATTAAGGGTTCATTAATATATAGGCAAGCTTTTGAATTATAAATAAGATTAGAAATCTGCATCGGCTGGACTGTACAGTAGGAGCCTTTCTAACAGAACACTGTAACACAATGAAGGCTTGACCTGAGTGAATGAGGTACAAACACAGTGCACTAACTAAGCTTCGTGGCTCCCTCATTTCAAGGACCAAGCCCACCGGACCGTGACTAACCTCTGCTCATCCAGTACTGAAAGAGTATGGCTTCAGACCATGGCTATTTCAAATATGTTCTACATATGGTCCTGAATTAGGCATAACTAAGATCTAGCCCTATAATTTTTCCATAATCAGGGAAGATATATAATATCCACAATAATGATAAAAGTTGTCATCACATCATTTTTACTTGACTATTCAGACCTGCTGAGAAACAAAAAGCTATTATGAAAATTTGAGTTGTTTGATTTTTTTCTCCTAATGAGTATACCATAAATTGAGGTCCCAAATTATTCATAAGTTTAGGCCTATGACACCTCTGTAATTTTATTTTCTGATAGACTTGTTTTTGATTCATTCAACTGCCATACCACAGTCTTAGCTCAGAGAAAAATGTTTTAGCAGAGTGTAATGTAAAACAAGGCCAGATCAGGTATTTTCAGCAGGCTCTGAATCCTTGACCGCTTTGAAATAAGTGACAATTTTAATATTAATATTTTCAGTTATTCTTATAATTTTTCATAGGTTTTTTTGTGTCTTCTATTTTAAAGTAACACAGAGAATAGTGGTCAGAAGTTACAAAGCTAATTACTGAAAATACCTACTTTATTTTCTATGCTTTCTTCATTTAAAAATCAAGTCAGCCACAGTTTGAGAAATGTAACCCAAACTACAGATTAAGAAGAAAGATTAAGACAGATGTGTGGTTACTTTTCTCCCCAAGAAAAAAAAAAAAAAAAACATAAAATAATTTTCTATCTGAAATCCTTAAGTAAGAACCAGTTAAAATAGGAAGCAGAAGATCTGGAAATGAAATGAAGGTCACAAGCCCCATGGTCATGAGATCTCATTTGAAACAATTACTTTATGGTTGTGGAAACTGTGATATAATTTGGAAACAGTGGTGAAAGACACTGAAAAACCCTCAAGGCATCACTGTCTAAACTAGACTTAAGTATTGGGGGTTGGGAGGGGTGGGTTCTCAGTTAAACAGTAAGTGGACTAGAGAGAGAGCTAAGAAGCCAAGTCCAAGGACAGGTGCAGTGGCTCACACCTGTAATCCCATCACTTTGGAAGGCCGAGGCGGGCTGATCATGAGGTCAAGAGATTGAGACCATCCTAGCCAACATAGTGAAACCCCATCTCTACTAAAAATACAAAAGTTAGCTGGGCGTGGTGGCATGCGCCTGTAGTCCCAGCTACTTGGGAGGCTGAGGCAAGAGAACTGCTTGAACCCAGGAGGCGGAGATTGCAGTGAGCTGAGATTGCAGTGAGCCGAGATCATGCCACTGAACTCCAGCCTGGCGCCTGGTGACAGAGCAAGATTCTGTCTCAAATAAAAAAA